AGTAATTGTATCCTTGTTTTTCATGATTGACTTCCGTAACACATTTTACTTTTACTGCATATTCTAGCTTATCACCGTATTCATGACCGTTTTTCTCATCTTTTTGTCACTTGATAAATTGTAACTAATGATTTAATAGTATGGTCTTATTTTTCATTTCCTATTTCATTTAAATGTAAACAAATGAATTTTATCTAAGCTATTCACGAGTTAGCTACAAATATATGTTAGTAGTACGTCTTTAGATTTGTACAAGTTAAAGGGACCCATAATTAACCAATTTTAATGGGTTATCGAGATAAAATTAAGGGAAAACCATAAATTAGATTAGCAGTAGCTTTCCCTTCGTAATTAAGAGGTTTTAACCATACACACCTATATTTATAAAGCTCAAACTATCTCTTATTAATATAGTACTGTTTTAGTGGACAGTAATTGGTGACATCGTTGACTATATTGCTGTATATATACAAATGTCCGCCTACCTCATTCTGTATGATAAATTTTTTCAACTTCAGTCTAACGATCACCAGCCGTCTGGAGGTGGAATGTCAGGTCATCCACATCATCCTACACCGCCACATTATATGGGTGGTCAACCACCACCACAACAACAAACACCACCTTCTTCAAATTCCTGTCTCCCTCCAGAATATGCTGCAAGACCTTCTCCACATCTTGTTTTTAGTGGTGGAGGACCTGGCTCTACTCCTGATAACGGTATGTTTGGTACAGGTCCCGGATGCAGTGACTCTGGATTACTAAATGGTTCTGTGGGCCCTCCTCGTAGCAGCGGAATGATGCCCCCTCCTCCCCCAGACTACTCAAGTGGTATGCCTTCTTCTGCATCAAACCCTTACCCACCCGGTTCTGATCTCAAAGCCTCGCCGTTACATGGGGGTCCTGGAATGGGTTGTGACATGGTAAGTCCAGCTGGAGGCCCTCCCCCATTGATGCCCTCTGATTACCCTTCCGGCAATGGCCCTGGTGGCAACGGACCTGGACAAGGCAGCAGTGGGTTCCCAGGAGATTCTGTTATGATGATGCCTCCGCCGCAACAGCAAAGTGTTTTACAACAGCATATGGGTGGTGGACCGCAAGGCCAAGCTCCGCCTCCTCCTCAGTATGTTCCTTCTGGGGGTCAGCACTCAGGGTCAGGTGGGGGTCCCCCATCGTCCATGCAGTCCGTTTGTGGGGGATCTAATCCTAGTCCAGCTGGCGGTCCGGGTTCCGTGCAGTTTCCAGTAAGTTTTCATGGTTACCATCACTATTCAGATTAAATTTGATCTTTTTACACAGCACTGAGTTTTTTATTATCCAGTCAGTTGCTATGAAATGTATCGAATAGAGTTGAGCTTCTTACTGACTAACGTCGTGCTACAAGTATTTAAATGTTGTACATTTTTGGTCACGCTCATGTTTTAGTAGCTTTGTGTAGCGGTGGATTATGACGTTAAGCTTTCGACCTTCGGTCACCAAGTTTAAACCTCGCTCCTAGTTTGATTTGAGCAGTGGCGTAGTATCACTAGCTGCTGTATTTAAAATGTTGCTCAAAGTACACAATTCTGTACCGGAAGAGTTGCAAGCGTTTACATCACTAGTAAACTCTACATTTTAGTGTGACAAAATTGTGAAGAATGTTTGCATGCTTGGAGCTTCAAAAATTTTTCCACTGAATTTCCGGATCTGTCAAAATGTCAGTTTTCTGCTTGAAATTTTCATCCACGTTGGAATCCTGGTGTCTAAGACATAAAGTGTGGGAGTCAATAGTACTGTGAATTACTGCTCATGGTTCGTTACTGTACTTTGCCATTGAGCGATGTTTATAGGATGCGTTCGTAAAATAACGGGATGCTCATTTCGAGACTAAGTGGTATTAAATAAACCTCAAATTTAGTACGTAAATATGAAGAGTAAACTCATTGGCTGAAAGGTTTTTGGTTCACTCATAAATTACTGTGTTAACGTGTAGAAATATACCTAGGTAGCATAGATATCAGAATTAAATCAATATTCGCTTACCTTCACTCTCATTATGATTAAATCCATGAATATGTAATGATGACAATAATAATAGTATATGCATCTCTAAAATGACCGTTGTGAAGATGCATCGAAACAATCCTCATATTCTAAGGGTCAAGAAAAGTAACGTTTCAGCTCAAGCGACAACGTCACCTAATGTGGATGAGCTCAATATATGATGACAACACATTTTCTAGCGATTTAGCGTATATACAATTAGGTTTTATATTGCGTTAAAATTTAACGGAGAAGCTGCCTGTTATTTTTTTATATTATTTCCCAAAAATTAATTATGATCCACTTTTTCTGTGTTCCAGCAAGAATATTCGTTCAGTCAAATGTCCTAAGTGGATCGTGTCGAGTGCAACTACCCTCCTGTTTGTCGAAAACTGCAGCCATCAGGTGGCAGTGTACTGGTTTCTGTTTGTGCACCTTTATTATTACCATTTTGTTCTACACAATATCTGCATGTCAATTTACAAACCCTTTTTAGATTTGAATGTGTATCTTATCCTTAAGTTGATTGCCCTCGAATCATGTCTCACCCGCCTATCAGTGTATATGTTTCGCGGAGCCATTATTTGAAAGATATGATCTAAACAGAGGAATCTGTCTAAACACTTTTATATTTCTTGATACCCCGGTATCACCTGAGCGCATGGACACCAGTAATAATTTCCATCAAATGAAATTATCATTCATTTTGTTAATGAATTCCTCGATTGTTTTGTGTCATACCTGCTTTAAATGCATTTAATGTTTTGTCAGTATATTTCTCCTTGTAGTACATTGTCTGCTTAATTACAATTTAACTAGCATTATACATTTGATCTTTTTAAATAATGTAACGATCTTGACAAATATCAGTCTGCCTGCACAAATTTGTAAAACCAAATGATTTTGGGTGTTTTCTAATATGGATCCATAGTTTATTGCAGTACTGTGAACGGACGATTTTAAAATTGCGATGGATATTGTTCAAAACAGTATTTCTCATTTTTATATTCTTGTGACTGACCATACTTAAATGAATGACAGTAAATTTTTCATGTCCAACAATTCATTTTAAGTAGAAACTTCTCTTTGTCTTTTCAGCAACATCGTATTTTGTAAACGTTAGCATAAATTTTTTCGCTGAGCATTTTCGGTTCTATGACTGTAAAAGAATTTTCATCACACTTTCTGATTTACATTATTTGTCTTCAGTTGGTTTGATGTTTTCACTACATTCTTCAATTTATTATAATTGATAAATACTTCCCAAATTTACGCCTGCATATCTGTGTAAGTAATCTGCCTGCATTAACACTTTCTTTATCTTCTGCTCCGTACTGTAAGAACATTTTACAGGTTAACGTACGACAATATTTATTAAGAACCATGTTGCAGCAATATCTACATGAAAAATTTCTGTCATAAAATGTACGTTATCGCTCCCTTATGGAAAGGTTAGGATCCATACAAATGTAAATGCATTTTAACCACATTTGACTTGAAGAATTCTGACAGAGGTTTTTCGGTCTTATTGAATAGATACTGCTTGCTATGCACGCATTGGGTTTGCGTTATTGTTCAGCAATGGGATTTTGGCTCTAAGCCTGCTCATACACATGTTGGATTTTGTCACAAATAGACTAACGGAATTGATAAATGTGAATCCTGTTGGTAATGGGTAAAACTAGCGGATCTTAATTTACTGTTTGGAATCTCTAACATAAGCAACTTTTTCGATCCATTGGTGTTTTTAAACTTTATCGAAAAGAGCAACATAACTGCTGCTTGATATTCTTGTCAGTGACACCAATTGTGGATCATGTAGCTTTTTTGCTCTCTGCAAGGAAGCTTACGGATTGGTATATCCCCAAAGATATTAATTTGGTACGTAAGTATGCGTATCAGTCAGTCAGCTACAACGTAGGACCAGGCACATATATGCATCGGTCCAAGTTGCCATACCTCATTAACACAACAAGATGAACACCGGATTCATAAAAGTAGTTAATTCAGAGGTGGTTATAAATAAAGGAAAGATTGCATATGAGGATATAGTACAGGAAGAAAGAATTAGTTGGTAGAAAGAAAGTTGTGTAGCGATTTTAATCTCTTAGTTTAAGAGAAGACAGAGAGCGTATACACCTACGCCATTGTGATCGATTCTGACCCATGTCACTAAGTCTCCAACCATTGGTTACGATAGTCACGCGGACCGCAATCAAGTAGTCTGCATCTACCAACATGGCTCAGACTAGAAGTTATTGACTCCAAGCACTGATGCCACGTTTTGGTTTGGCCGCCCCTAACTTTCTTCCAACCATCTCGAACACCGCTTAGCATTGCATGTCGTGGTAATCGGTGTTCAGGCATACGCAACACGTGGCTCAACCATCTCATTCGATGAAGATTCAAGACCTCATCAACTGATTTACCATCATTCCCTTATACCCTGCATCTAATCTCACTATCACCCGGTGATCCCAGCAGATGCGAGCAATATTCCTTAGGCATCTGTGGTCAACTACTAGTAGCTTGTGCTTATCTCCTACTCTTAATGGCCATGTTTGGTTGCCGTAAATTAAAACAGGACGGACTGCCACGCAGTTTACTCGTCCTTTAATTGATAGACGGATATCTCGCCTTCTCTATATGTGACGTAAGTTGGCAAAAGCCAGGTGAGCTTTTGGAGTCCGTGCAGAGATTTCGTCAGACACCAAACCACTAGGGCTGATCAGACCTCCAAGATAAGTGAAGTTGTCAGCGCGTTCGACTACTTCACTCCTTATCCTTCAGGTGTTGACGCAGACCAGTCCTGGAGCAATAACTTGCATTTAGACAGAGAAAAGTATGCGTATAATATTTTAAGATCAAGTGTAAACATTTAAAACCTCACATCAGTATTCAGAGCTCTACTGTGCAGGTCCTGTTGCAAGTCGTTTTGCAGATAAAGGGGCGCATGATACTCTAAATCTAGTAGGAATGTTATCTTAAAAGTTTTCTATAGGAAATCTAGATATACGCATCCATATTAAGCAGTCTCGGGACTTGTAACGAGTAGTAATGTTTACTATCTCAATATGAAGTGTTGGTCCAGTGTAAGTAAAAACATGGTTATTAATAACATATATTTAGATATTGCTACATCAAAGTACTCATTTAAGAAATATTGAAGCCCGTGTATGTGACAAAGTAAAAGAAACATCGACTACATTTGTAAATAAGGTATCAGAATGGACACCACAAATACTGTTCGCTGTTTTCAACCTTCCATGTAAACGCGGTTATAGGTGTTAAAAACATTCGGCAAGTCATGGAGAAAAAAGAATTTGCATCAAGAAATATTCAAGTTCGATGGAAACTAGCTGCGTCTTAAGCGTTTGGCTCGTCCTCTTCCCCTGCCTCTGCTGACAGCTTGTGGTGGGGAGCTTGGCGGTGATTCGTTTTGACGGTTGTGTGATAGGACCTCAGGGGTAACAAATTTAGATGATGCTGTACGCCGTCGTGATGACAAACGTATGCCGCTACTTTCCTTTTTTCCATGTTTATCAATTGTTTGTGGTGTTGAGCGACCTAGTTCATCTGACTCAGTTTTCAAATTGTGGTGTTTAATGTCTCGTACTCCAGGTATTTGTACAGAATCTTGCTCATTCTTTCCATCAACAGGTATGGTTGGTGTTTCATCCGTTAATTTTTTAGGCAAATCTTGTGTGACAACAACCAAGGGTTCTTGGTACATGGGCTTTTGGTCTATGGTTGGAGGTTCAGTGAGCTTGTCATTTGCTTTCGCGCATGGTCTGAATTTAAATGAAGTAGAATATAGTAAAAGGTCTAGTATTTATTATTAAGATACTCCCAAATAAATTTATATAATTATGTACTGAAATATATAAATCGGGATTATAAGTTGTTTACATGACCGTTTTGAAATCTGTAGTCTGAGTTCGCTACACAATGATTTGTGAGTGGATACACTAATGTTCTAAAGACAACCAGTAGGACTACGTCACTATGCAAGACTTTATAAGGTTCATCCTTCTTTATTTAGATGAACTACAGTGAAGAGTTATGGTGTGTATTCTTGTGGACAAGAACATTTCATTCAGTGGTACTTTTATTTAAGTAATGAGGGTTTAGCTAAAACACAGACCCTTCTATATGAAGCCAACAGATGTATGCACAAGCACAATCAACGTGGTTCATTACAACCTTAAATGGGACTCGATGTGTTTCGAGAAAAATGAGTTTTGAAAGTGCGTAACAAAGTCTATATAATCAATTATCGTTCACGTCAACAAATGGGGAAAATTAATCTCCGCTGCAGCTGTTCCTTTAATGTTTGTCAACTTGAAATACCAAGACATAACTTACTTTATTATGCTGTCCAATGTGAAACGGTCGTGAAATGTATTGTAGAAATCTCGTATGAAACTTTCTGATTTAGTTCCAACGGTTCTGGCAATTGTGGAAAAGTCTTGACCATATTTTTTCATAGCTGTTAGCACAAAAGCTAGTTCTGTTTTTGTCCATCGATAAGATATCTATTTTTGAAGGCAATAAATTGATTAGTTTGGTTCTGGATAATATGGATAATAAGTATAATATCAGTTTTCTTTGAATACGTATATAGTAACAATTAACGCTATCATAGGCTACGATGGTCAACGTTTTTCTGAACAGTAGTGTGAAAACAGGTAATAAAAGTGGGGGACTTAGTGGCCATAGTAATTGGGATGAGGTGGGCCTAGGTTTATTCTACTGAGCTGAATGTGCCTATGAACTCACACTAAAAGACCTAGTAATAGTGTAAATCGTAGAGATGATTGACGAAAAGTTAGTGATATTAGCAGCGGTCTGTTAAAATTGTATAGTCATTCGCTTACTGATATAAAGGTAAGAAAGCGTTGTGCTGTAGAACTCAACGCAATCGAATGGAATAGGAATTATAGGCTGATAATCAAAATTTAAGGCATGAACATGTGAAAATTTCAACATTACCGCCAACAATTCCGAGCTATCCAATAGTATTTGCAACCGGGAGTTAATAAGTTTCCATGGAATATATGACATTGAAATTACTAACAATCTATATTCTAAGAATAGAAAGTGTGAATATTTTGTTGCAAATCTCTTGCGTTTTGTTATAATACAGCATCATAGATCTGTTGATGTGGAGAAATGATGACTTCTAGCGTTGAAAATGCCACAACATCCCTCCATATTCAGTTATTAACAGAAGACGAATATAGTTTTCAATCTGTCTGTATGATTAGACAACAAAATTTTGGTATTATTTGACTGAGTTACGGGTTGTGTACATGTTAAGAGTCTAGACGATTATTTCCCACCACCCGTGTAGGGGAATCACGACAGATGCTGTATATAACTGTAATCTTTAAGCAACAGATTGTATATTGTAGATAGGTGTTTATGAAAATGTATTTAAATATATAGTTATATTATACAATGGTGGGTGGATATATATATATATATATATATATATATATATATAGAGAGAGAGAGAGAGAGAGAGAGAGGTGCGGTTTAAACAATGAATGTTCTAACCAAAATCTAAACTAAAACTAGACATTACTTACCTTTGCGATTTAACCTTCTTCATTTATAAACAACAAACTCTAGACGTACTTTATTGCGGTAGAAAATTATTTATAGATTGCATTAGCGTACATCAAATTCCACTTACTAAATTGAACTAAAATTGTACATTTCAAGTTGATCATTCAAGAAATAACCGAAAATAGGAAAGTCCAAGTTTTCATTTATCAGTGGGCCAGTGAAAGTAAAGTGTATCATTCAGAAGGTCACTGCTATACATACAGGTCACTAATAATTTTAGCTTTTAAATGTCTATTATCTGCTGTGGACAAATCGGGATTCTATTTTAATTACGGATGCACGTATTTTTACACTAGATTTCAGAAGTTCATGAAAATGTATAACGATGACACACAGAATTGTTATGACTTTAGGTTGCTGTCGATTTTTACCCTGTGCTAGTTGTTGTGTCCTTGACTGGAAAATTAGAGAGCAGCGTACTTATCGATCGACTACAGTGACACGTAAACACGAACGAACGGCCTACAGTCCTGATTGGTCCTGCTTCCCTGTCCAGCCCAGCCAGTTGAGTCCAGAAGACAAGTCACAGCCTCGGAGATATGAATCATTATATTTCAAACATACTCTATTTATATACTAACCAAGCATACCACATCGTACCATAGGATAGAAACAACATTTTGTACAATATTCAACAAGTGAACAGATATCGACCAATAGGAAATGTCCATTTAAAGTCCAAGGACACCATTGGACCTAACATGATAATTATTGGTCTATTCCTCCGCATCCACAACAAGAATGAAACGGATTTTGGATCAAGATTTCAATATAACAGATGGGTTTTGTGGATATTATAGTAATTTCAATGGTTAAGATCAATAGTCAGTTGAAGCTAGACCACCATGGAAAACCTGAAAGCACTGGACGACCGTCAGTTGAAGCTAGTCTGACTCATGATCTCAACCACTGAAATTACTATAATATCCACAAAACCCATCTGATATTAATCAACATATGCGCACTAGTGACTGGCTTCAAGATGTATATCCTGGAGTTCTAGTGAGAAGTAGTGACCAGTGGAGTTCAACCAGGTCTGTTGTGAGATAGTAACTACTGAAGACCATGGTGGATGTGTCGCTTAAATTCGTGGATTAGTTGAAGTTAGACATTAACACCGTTGGATACCGGCCTAGTGGTCTAGTGGTTAAGTGCTCGCGCGCGAAACCAGTAGGTCTTGGGTTCGAGTCTCGCAGGGGGCGAGGTCGTGGATGCGCACTGCTGAGGAGTCCCACGTTAGGACTAAACGGTCGTCCAATGCTTCCAGGTTTCCCATGGTGGTCTAGCCGCAACTGACTCATGATCTTAACCAATGTATCAAACGGGAGTTGGCTCAAATAAATAAGTATTTTATACAAATATATATATATATATATATATATATATATATATATATATATATATATATATATATATATATACCAGTACTAAATGGGTCAATATCAAAGTGAAACTTCTATGCGCGAAATAGCTATTCAATTGTAGAATACAAATTTTAGGTCATATAGATGTTTTTGTAATATGTTTTAGCGAAAAAAACAGTTAAACGAATATATTGCCTATAAGTGCTGTTATGTATTTGCAACGTAAATAGTACTTTATTATTTAAGGAAGTAAAAGTCTAACATTATCATGTCTTTAATATGAATAGAACGCATGACAAAAATTCTAGAGATGTTTTCGGACGTTGATCTGGTGTAGATTATTCTTTCAACATACTCAGGGAACGATGCCAGTTGAATTAAGCAGTGGTCGGACATGTGTAACACATGTCTTACGTTGATGAACTTTCGTAAATGATGTCGAATAGTCCAACGGAAATATTTCCTCCTATTCGCTTTCAACTAAAGTGAATGTCATAGGGTGAAGGAATGAATCTAGAGCGCGCGTGGGAAGAGTTTATACAAATAGCTGGAAGTAGGAAATGTTTTCAAGCTTCGTGAATACAAGTAATTGAATTTAAGAGACTTAGTGAATACACCAAAAGTTGTGATACTGATTGAGATGAGTGAATAAATAATTACAATAAAATAATCCGATTGTCAACATCAGTTTATTGTTCATAAGAAAAATTAAAAAATTTCAACTGTGGAGAATTTGAGTGTAAATTGAAATGTGATCATCCCACGCATGTAAACATTTGCCTACTTAATCCATATTAAGTAGTATTCATATCACTCATGACAAAACTATGATGCATAACAAGCTATAAGATGCGGTGGTTTACTTTCAGCTAGAAAAATATGAATAATCACTAAACATTCACACAACGAATTTGACAGTGTATATGTTCTTGTTTCGAGATGAGAGCAAATGAATAGCTAACTATGTAATACGAAATAAATAACTTTTTTTACATGCTACTGAATTGAAGGCTGAAACATAACAATTTTGATCTACTACTAAAAGTCTCACAAGATTACTTAATAGTTGAATTCATGAGTCGATTTAAGCTAGACCACCATGGAAAACCTGGAAGTATTGAATGGCTCTCTTGTCCTAATATGAGACAGTTCAGCAATGCGTATTCATGACTCCGGACGCTGTACTCGAACCTGGAGCTTCGGTTTCGTGCGCGGACGCTTAACCCCTAGACCACTGGACAGAAATCCGACGGTTTTCATGTCTAACTTCAAGCAATTTACGATATTGCGCCACAAACCCCAAATCTGAAAAGATTATTTGTTTAGTATTATTCTCGATTCACTGTCAAATATTCAAAATCTCAGGTAATTTATTCACCAAAAGCATTTACAGGAAATCGATTGTGACTCATGGGAGCCCAATGAGTACAACATGAGAATGAGAGTAATTTAATAATGCATAAAATTAATGCTTCAGTAGCTAAATTAAAACTTTGAGCATTCAACTGCTGGGAATGTTATGGGTGAAATCTCCCAGGATTAAAGCACAGTACATCTTAGATTCAATCAGGTAAAATATGAAGTCATGACGTGATATGGGAATCAAAAATATTACTTCAAAGTTACACTTAGAAATGCAAAATCACTAGATTCAATGACAGAATATGATTTGAAACATCCCAGTCATTACCGATTATAATTGTAAGGTGACGTAACAGTTCGTATGCTCTTATATATAACTTTAAAATGCTAATTTAAGTCTGAGCTTACACTCAGTTATTAGTTTGTGTAGTGGTGCGCCAGTACATAGAGCGTTCAACTTTAAAATCAAAAGGTTATAGGTTCAAACTTTACTGAACTTTGATTTAAGAAACCAGATTGTATGACCTTCCAGAATGTAATTTTATCACCAAACGACCTTCATTGACTTGAAGTACGTAAATGAAAGTTTTGTTTTGAGGAGAAAATGATCGAGTGCAAAATTTTTTCAACAACAATTGGTCGTGCATAGATGATTTTGACGCATATTTATTCTTACAATTGCAATATTTTTCTTGAAAACCAGTCTGGATTATTACCTAGTCTAGCGATACGAAATGAACTTGTTGAATGCATTCAATCACTTCACCTATTTTGAAAATTCAAGTTAGTAGCTGATGAAATCCTGATAGAAATATAAAGATTTGTTTGGATTTGGCTAATTTCTACCAATTGTGTTGCAAACAAGATGTAACTGTGAGCTAAAATGAATGTTAACTGTGCAGCAACGTGATTTGTATCACTTTACACTTATCAAATACAACTATGAAAATCTATAAGGCATGCATAATTGATGACAGGTGTTTTATAGAGCATTGTTCGCGAATAATAGAACCATCCAAATGAAGCATATTAATTATAAATATATAGAATACTAAGTAAAGACAGTATGCTGTTTGATAAAACAGTGAATTTAAGTGTTTAAGGGATGTTTTGCGTTTCCAATCATCACATAAGTATTCAGTGAACAAAGCATGGAATACTTTTCCAATAATACGAATTGATATGGTACATATAGCACTGTTTTCAATGAGTGGTTATTGAAGTCGTGAAAAAAACGACTCTCTTAAAATACAAATTGTTTTATGTATGCGTGAAAAGAAAATAATTTACAGAAACAATATAGATCTACACTATTCCAACGAGTACAATTAGGCCACAAATTTAAGCTTAAGAGTTTCTACCTCTTTACTTTACCCTAAATACATAGAAAATACACTGAGCACTACTTCTCATAGTTTAATTATTATTGTATGAAATAAACAGTATTGCAAATCAATATCGAAATTCCTTAAGCAGTATTTACAACAGAGAAATTATTATTTTGTGTAATCTTACTTGAGGAAACCCTTCAACTGGTTTAAGCAATTCCATTTTATAAAGGACAGATCTTGAACGGGCTTCAGTAATCTAATGGTCCAATAAAGAATGAAAATAATACAAACTGAATAAACAAAAATATAGATAATAAGTCAGTTAAAAGAAAAATTCTGACGTCAATAAAGACAACAAACCATAATGAAACAAGTTATACTCCACAGAACTGATGAATAAAATAAAATGTGTAAATTTGATATATTATAGGATCTACTGAATGTTACGATGATAATTGTTTAATGGTTTGACAGGAGACAATTACTAGTAGTCTTGATGCGAATATAAACTACTAACAGAATTGAGATAGGTAGGTATAAAACTATCTATTTATAATTCACAAGTGAGCAGTAGTACATTTTTCATGTCTTTAAAATTACATAATTGAACTATGGTGATTTTAAGAGTGATTGAATAATTAATTCTTCAGTGAATTTGTTGATAAAAATACAAAAACGAGTCTAATAAATATTTTATTAATGTATAAATCATGCAATTAAACACCGAAAACTATCGCACAAGATATCTTGAATCATTATATGCTTATTTCATTTCTCATTCAACACAAAGAAAAAAAAGATCAACGCACACTAAGAAAATATATATTCACTTGAATACAAATGCTTATAACTTAATCAAAAGTAACATATGCAAGGTATTTTCTTTACAGAACATGGTAATAATTGTTGACAAACATTTTAAGAGAATTAATTTGGTTAAAAATCAATTAGAAAGTGGATTGAATTACATGCTTTGGCAACTTCATGGTTTTGTGAATATACCTTGCTATGCTGATTGAAAAGAAACACAAATATTGATTGGCTCTACAACTGTCATATTTCCTCATTTTACTGTTTTCTTATTATGATAATATCCAATGCAAAGAATTTGTTTAAGATAAAAATCAACCGAAAAATAAATCGAGTACACTAAGCAAGCAACCTGATCATAATTTATTTTGCATTGGATTTAAATGCAGATCTACAGATATCAAAATTTACATAATGAGATAACTGAAAAACACTTTACAAAATGAATTATTCATTAGTTGTAATGATTTTAATCTCATTGTTGTTAATATTAAAGACTGATATTGGTCAATCTCTTTTGGCATACGTGCATCCTGTGCAGATCGTCTCAGTAAAGATTTAAACCCTTATAGATGAGAAATAAGATCAATTTCCGTTGGACAGCCTAGCGGTTATCTAGACTCAGTAGCTCAGTGGACAATGTGTTATTCACTTGAAATGAAACTTACTGGGCTCGAGTGTAGTGTGAACATCTATACTGAGTGGAGATACATTCACCTGTTGCGAACCCAAATAGGACGATAAGCGCACCTTGAACTCCATTTATAGCCACTTTACCTAATGAACAAATGATTATTATTTCAGTTGGTATGCGTTACAATGTCTAAATGGATTTGATTACCTGTCCAACTCTCCGAAGTGTAACAATTAATCTTCAGATTAATCATTGTTAGTGATAAATCTTTTTCGGAATTTAAGCTGTCAGAGTTATTTTTCGGATTATGATTAATTATATCTTTATTGCATAAATAACAGATAAATTTGTTGTAACATTTCTACTACTTGTGATATTAAAAATATATTATTTATCTATAACAATCTACCCAATGCTCAATTTATTTGAAATTATCAAGTCAAACCTTAGTAATAATACCTAATTAAGTAGTGTTTGATCCGCTTTCTTTCACTTAGTGTGATTTCTTATTTGGTGTGCTGTATGGTCTGGCATTTCCAGTTTACTATTGTACAGTCTTTGAGTCATGATCAAAGTGCTGCTGCTCTATAACGATTTGATTGAGCTAACAACATGAGAATCATACATCATACGATTTGTACTGTGACATTGGAATTAACAACTGATAGCGTTGAATAAATTGTGATGATATGAGGACCAAAATGACTAAAATAATTTCGAGTAGTAATTAGATACGGTACTGCATATGACACAGCAACATTATGGTGATCAGTTTACAATAAAAAGTGGATTAAATCTTCAATGTAAAATGGTATATATAAACATGCGCTTGTTAAGTGAGAAAGTGAAACAACTATCTCATGTTAATATCAGAATTGAACTGGCTGACAGAAATGTATTGCTGGTTGAAGTTGGTGATTACTTATTACCATCAGTAACATACTTTAGTTTTATCACAGTTAATTAAAACCATGATATTGGGATTCAGTTTCGATTTCAATTAATTCGTGAAATTCCTTATTATCGACCATTGTCACTATTGGTATCCGTTCCACATAAAGAAGAAACAGCTGTCTAGTAATTCCTAATTTTCCATAGCTATCAAACTAAAGTCATTTAGTTGTGTTAACTACAAACTTAACAAAATTCACACTTCTGTACTAATGATACTCAATTACATTATTTGATTTTCTAATATTATCTAATGTGCAATTGTTCAATCGGCCACTTTACTACTGGCCATTAATTTTTAAATTACTAAATGTGCAAACTGCTAAAACATCCAGGTACATAAACAATAGGAATCGATTTTGTAACACAAAAATGAATTATTCACGTGCAAAATTAACTGCATAAGATATATATATCGTTCGCTGATTTCTGAAGATTAAACACACATGTACAGATGTTTAACAATTACGTCAAATGTTAACCAAACAATCAATAATTAGGTAGCTATGAGTACAATTAAACAGTCGATAAAAAAACGGTTACACTTAATGCAAAACTAGTGTAGATATTACGAAGAAGCAAATATATGTTCCAGTAATTTAATTTTATATTTGTTATTTAACGCAGATAATCTATTGATTTTGCAAATTGTATACTTACATTAAACTATTGATTAATTAATGTTAACCGCTACCAGTTCAATAAATTCAAATTTATCTATTGACTGGATGGACATTTAAAAATTATATATGTAATTTTGTTGTCGTTTTGATCATTTGTAAAGTATATCAGTGTTTGTTGCATAAATTTTTATTTCTTCAATATATCGAGATAAATCGGTTTTATTTCGATGATCAAATAACAAGTAACGGTTATTCCGCATCTATAACAAGCAGCAGTAATCACTATTTCGAAAAGACATTACAGTAGAAGGAGACTTAAAACAAAGTAACTCCCAATTAATATTGTTCAAGATCGACGTCGAAACAACATATGCTTGCATTTCACAAATGCATAAAATACTCTGAAGACTTGATTTTGTCGGCGTATTTGCAAAAAAATGGGAACGCTGATTTGTATACATAATGTTACTGTTAAAAAAAAGTTAACATGTTTACTATCAACTTGTTATTTGTAAGGACTGCGAAAAATGAACAACTAGCCAGCAGATTTGTGAAAAAGTAAAGAAATTCCTCAAGAAGTACTACAGTGGTTTAGTAACCAAAAACAAGTTTATATGAGTTGCGCACTTTGATGTGGCGGCTGGTGATACTTTATATCTGCAACAACTCAAGAGCGGTCATAAAACCTCTTCAAAACCAGGACGCGTATAGAACATAGACAGGAAAATATATAAGCATATGGTATATCTCCTTTTTTCTGATAATAATTTAAAAGACAGAAAGATGAGTATTGTGTTTCTAAGGACACTGATGCCCTGAGTAAATATTCTGAACAAGAGTGGAATATAATTTAAAACTACAATGTAAGGCTAGAAAAGACAAATATGAAATGAGTGTTGACTACGTTATAAGCATCATGAAATTCTGTATACCGAATGGAAATAAGTATATACAAACTCAAACTAGATAGCACTATTCTCAGCAAGGGTTTAAATTATTTCGTTGTTGATACACAGGACTAAATTTTTGATCAATCTCTATTTGCATATGTTTATTCTGAGCGGATTGTTTTGATATAAACTTTGCAAAACGTTTTAAAGAATAGATGAACTGTAGTTAACAGAAGAACCCAGGATATACATTTCATTCTATTTACGACTGGTTAGTTGGATGTACCTGAATACCAGTGTTGATTTCCGTATTATGACTCGAGAGGTCCAAAATTCAGTCATGGATATTAACAAAGGGACTATTCAAACCGTAATAAATACGAAATAAAGATTGTATCCGTTGCATAAGCTATTTGGATTCAGTAGCTCAGTGGAAAACACATCGGTCAGTTGATGCGAAAGTTGTTAGGTTCTAGTCATAGTGTGGAGATGCAAAAACATGGCTGAAAAGTTATAAATAGGACAAAACGCGTGTTTTGGATTTCACAACTAGCTATAATCCGTTTATTTTATTCAACTAGGTAAGGTAGAAAGATATCAACAGTAATAGATTCCGAATATATTCTTAGTTTTTCTTATCAGTGATGTGATATAATGGAGACGGAATTCCCCATGATGTGTGATGAGCTAACTCGAATATTGTAAATGACTATTCGAAATTCATAATGATGTACACCGAAAGAAACACTGTCATTGTGCGTTCACCTAGATTGGAACCATAATATAAATGTTTATCGTAAAACATTAATTAGCTAAACCACATGTTTTTCATCACATAATTTGCAAAACGTTTCAACAAGGTAGAATGAAGAAAGAACTTTAGGTCACGCGACCTATGATATGTGCGCTTATGCGCTCACAATCGATTATAAAATATTTACATAAAGACAAAGGCAAAGAAGAAGAATAGATTGTAAATAACAAAACTTCTATTATAAGCGATAGTGAATAGACAATATACACAATCAGCATCACGTTATTAAATTACACGAGCATCCAATGTCTAACTAGTATTGTGAGATGTTGATAATTAGATTAAAAATTCTCTGGTTTAATGTTATGTGGGAGCATAGCAAAAAATTACTGAAACCAAATACTAGGGAGAGTTGACCATTAAACTTTCCCTGAAAAGTGCTTGCGCTTATGTGTGTATATGTGCAAGGGCGAAAGTCTTTGTACCAGTGATTGCATGTTATGTGCAAGTGACAACCAGTTGTAGCATATACATACTAAAGGAGT